AACAATTTAAGGTGTAGAGTTATACATATACAAGATAAATACAAAATATTTCAAGTTAATACAAAATATTTCAAGTTAAGACACTTACTAAAGATTCAGAGTTCTTACAATAAGTAGATCTATAATGATACATGTAAATGATTACAATTATAACAGTTAAGGCATGTATATAGTTAGCAATAGAGCTGTTATTCTCTAAAATGTTTAAAAAATATAGAGATGTAAGTCATAAAGCAGGGCATTATGTCTACAATAAATACATTGTATATGCACTTGTTCAAAATTTGGTACAGTAACTCTCTTGTCGTCAACCCCTTTTATTTTACAGAAAATTAAGCGAGCTACTAACATTAGTAAATTATACATATTTACATATTCCCAGGGGCTGACATTTTTTAGGTAGGATACTAGTCAATAGGGTTCAGTCTCAGTGATTAGAGCGTCTTCGCTGGAGTCGCGATGTAAGGTGATGAATCCCATTGCGGGCCTGTGTAGATTTCATGTTGCAGTAGGTGCTTGCAAAAAAAAAAGTCCCTCACTGCTCAATGGCCCTGAGTGCCGAGCATCTTTCTAAATTTGGAGCCTACCCCTGGCATACTTCATATGAGTAAAAAATTCTCGGGAGGCAAGTTATAAAACAAGAAACACGTAAAAAACAGCACTGAAAAAAATGTACCAATCATCTTTAGTTTGGGAAACAGACTCGAGCTTTTATGGCTGCAAACTGATAAAGAAGACATAAGAATTAGCAGTGCTGATCTCTAAAATAAGAATTTGTACCATTTTTCACAGTCATGTAAGGTGGCTAGTAGTACTCCACGCTGAAAATGTCAGCCTTAAAGGTAAGAGTATCAAATGTCTTCTTGTTGTCTATTTAACTTATATGATAGGCATAGTGCGTTCTGGAATGAATTTACTTTTCAATTCCAAACAGGGAACTGCGAGTGACGTTCGAAAATTTGATTGCCTAATGAGTGTGAGATTTATTTTAAATTCTCAAAGCCTTTATTATTTTGATACTTTCATTCAATTTGTGGCCAAAAATTTTAAACCATGTTCTTAAGCATGCGTTATACATTTGCACCAGCTGTTTTGACCAATACTTTCAGTACAACAAAATTAAACGGTTAAAAACAAGAGAATGAAGCTATGGTGGTTGAAAGTCCTGATAGACCAGTGTTCGTGAAAACTTTGTTATCATTATCCACAGGTACTTGTGGACTGGACCCCCCCCCCCCCCCACTATACACCCCTGGTAAAAATAATTTTTTTTTCTTTTTTTGTCATGAATTATGTTTCTAGTACTTATTTACAAAGTATTCCATATGAAAAATCCAAAAAATAACATAGATTTAACGATTTACTAAAAAAGTCATACCCTGGTATTATAATACCAGGGTATGACTTTTTTAGTAAATCGTTAAATCTATGTTATTTTTTGGATTTTTCATATGGAATACGTTGTAAATAAGTACTAGAAACATAATTCATGACAAAAAAAGAAAAAAAAATATTTTGACCAGGGGTGTATAGTGGGGGGGGGGGGGGGTTCCTGTCTACAAGTACCTGTGATCATTATCGTGTTTGAAAGCGCAAACAAAGAAAAACAATTTCGTGTGGGATTACTCGCCCGAGGGTATTTTTTTTTCACGGAAGCTTTCGAAAACCAGTAATTACCTTAGTGTTAAGAATTACATGGTATATCTTTTTGTCTTTTTTTCAGTTAATATCAGAATATGGACTCTAAAATATTCCCTCCATATCAATCCATGCATATTCTCTATATGTTTTTAAAAATAAGATACTAGATCTATGTAGTAATAAATGTATAAAAAATTCCTTGGTGAGGACAGTAAGACAGATGAAGCGTGTTGATATTAGATTATGGTAGTCCGTGATAATGACCCGTAGACCACGGTAATGAAGAATTCGTCAAGTTTAATAAATGTTTCTTATGTGTTTCGTTCCTCGTTAGGGGTTCTTCTGGGATTCCTTGTCAGTCTAACTATACTATTTTACTGTCCTCTACCTTTTCACGAGAGAAATCCACAGATGTTTAGTAATATGTCTGGTATTGTAAAACAGAAAACTTATTCTTAATTCATTTTTAGTCAATAATTTCATGCAACAATATTTGGCTTTTCAGAATCAGAATAAAATAAATATTTAAAGTCAGATTTTAAAACAAATTACATAGTTCTGTTGAGCTTTTGACCGACATATAAACACTGAAGTATTAGAGTCAACCCTTCGGAAGTGAATTCCATTTCTATTAAAAATGCAGCTGCCTGTCATGTCAAAATACATGGACTTTCATTCATCGTAGGGAATGCTTGTATATAAAGTACAAAAGTCGTAAGATTTTAAGTTGTTGATTTTGGTAAAATTCTGTGATTTCAAATTAAAATTTTTCCAAAAGTTCCTGGGATATTTTTGAGTACCCACAAATGATATTAAGTGTACACCACTTTTCAAATATATTGTTACACAGTTCTGAAGTTTTTCTGTCACTACTGTTGATATTTTAGTGAGAAGTAATTCTAAAGAAAGAGGCTTTGTAGAAATTTTACTGGAACCCGCCATGCATCTTTTTTTGGAATTATATTTATCAAGTTTATTGGAATTCAATTAAGATATTGTAATTCAAATTCATTTTACTTGTTGAGAACATTAGAAATATTCAAAACTGACGTACGATTTTGAAAAATTTCCTTCTTAGAACGGGAGTTTGGGTAGAAGTTCGATTACCACTTGTAGGTTAAAATCCAAGTTCCCCTAAAATACAATTTTTATAATGAGCCTTGCAAAGACAATTTTATTACCTGCTTTGTTAGCAAAGACCAATACATACTTATCGTGTAATCTATCTAATTCCTTTTGTCCACTTCTGAATTATTGTGCATAGATGGATAATTGGTTTTGATTTGGCCCTCAATTGCTTAATGCGAGATATTAAAAACATGCATCTGAAACATTTTATCAATTCTTTCAACATGTCAAAGGCTATTTTTTCATGTCTAGACCATCGCCTGGCGTAATATCTCACAGAATCCACAATATTTATAAAATTATGACGCCAGTTAAAAGATTGGGGTTCTCTTTATTTGGACACTTTTAAAATTAAGGAGTTTAGGTCCTCAATATTAACTTTATTTTCGTCACCAGTAATAACTGGTTATTACGGGGACAACATTTCTTAGGAAAAGCTGACCCATCTTATTTGTCGTACAATTACAATGTAAGTTGGCATTTGTCGTCTACATTCAGCAAAATATTCAAATATGAATCAGATGCGAAAAACTCTGGTGTCTTTTATTTAAGAAATGTTTTTAAGTTTGAGTGTTCTCAGTTGATTCGATACGCAAGAGCGTATCTTACGTATCTTACTATTTATAAAACGAGGTAAATTATTGACAAGTAAGTTGATGAAACAAGAATATCAACAGTCTCGGTTAAAGTCATCATTTCGTAAATTCTGTGGTCGATACAATAACCTTGTCAGCAAATACAATTTATCATTGAGACAAATCCTGACTGACGGTTTTTTGTACTAATCGTTAGTCCATCATTTATACACTGAACTGACGACGGATTTCCGTTATTTGGAACACACGGCGGGTTTGACCGGTCAGCAGGGGATGCTCACTCCTCCATGGCACCAGATCCCATGTCTGATGTTTCAGAGGTCTGTGTTTGCCCTGCTCCAATTTTGTTTTGTTTTATGGACTTTGATATTGAATACTGTTCGTTATCTCCATGTCCTTCTTCGTAGTGTGTCAAAAAAAATAATTAAAAAGACATGTCATTTAAGCATAATTCATAAAACGTGCTAGCCTACGCGCAAGTCTGTGTGATTCACACACCAATAATTCACACTGAACTTAAAAACATTTCCCAAAAATATTTCCATTATAATGAAATAAATGGAGATAACGAACTGTATTTAAGCTCAAAAGTCTATTGAACGATACAAATTTTGGAGTACACACGGACCTCTAAACATCAGAGGTGGGATCAGGCCTGGCCGGGTGCCATAAAACTTACACCAGCTCACTTTTGATCTCATACTCACTTTTCCACTATATATTCCTTTGGTAAAAGTGAGACTGAGATCAAAAGTGAGCTCGTCTAAAGTTTTATGCCCCAGGCCTGGTGGCAAGAAAGAGTGAGCATTCCCTGCCGACCGGTCACAACCACCGTGTGCTTCTTGTCATAATCGGGAAATCATGGGAAAATTCGTTGACAATTTAGTGTGTAAATGATTGTCTAACAATTTGTATGAAAACATCAAGCCAGCATTGACTTAATGATAAATTTTATTTGCCGACCTGGTCATTGTATCGACCATAGAAATTACGAAATGAGAGTTTAAACGAGACCGTTGGTATTCTTGATTGTCAACTTGTTTGTCAATAATTTACCCCGTTTTAAAAATTGTTCATTTGTAGAGCATGCTTGTGTCGAATCAAATGAGGGATATAAACCCCATATACATGTATATTGCTTCATAAGTAAGGGATGTTGACAATTGAAAAGTTAAACATATTGCATGTATCATAAAGTTAAGTTGTTAGATCACTATTTAACGTCTTTTTCCAGTAATTGTATCCAAATATGAAACAGATGTGTAAGACTCTGTGGTATCTTTTATTTTAAGCTCACCAGGATATATCATCACGCGAGAAGAACAAGATGTGCTTGAAATATGGTGGAATACAAAACTGGCTCCTTTTATGATTAAGAAAATTACCAAAGGTTTGTTTGCCTGAAAAAGATAATGAACTGTAATTACTTAAATTATCTTTCAGATATTCCATATCTAGATTCCGTAAAGTTTTCTTGTAATTCAAAAGTTTGGAGTCAATAGTAGATGTTCGTATGAAATACAAGGTGTGGCCTTTGTTCATAGAAAAAATGGAAATTTGCGAGTTGGAAGCTGTTGCATCACCTTGCATGGTATATAACATAATGAGGAACACGTTTTAGTAAATTGTTTTATTTCAAGTGTCGCTGTGTATCTTTCCAGGTAAAACATAACTATCAGATAAAAGTTGTTCTTTATGCGATAAATACCTACAGTCTTCGGACTTTTTATTTACTTTTTGTGCTGATTGAATTTCAATACGTAACACAACTTTATTGTTTACACCCTTTTCGTCTAGTTGCTCATCAGATTCACATTTTGAATGTCTTCGTTGACAACATTTATGGAATGCTAAATGAAGCCCTGCTCTAAATTTTGGGCTCATCCAGATGTAAATGATTGGGTTGTAACAGCTGTTACTCATGGCCAACCAGTGGAAGAAAACCCAGAGAACGGGCATAAAGCTCTGGTTATAGATTTCAGGATCCTGGTCTCCGGCGAGCGTGATCACGTGGAAAGGCAGCCAACAGAGGGCGTAAAATATCACCACAGTCACCATCATACGAATCATCTACAAAAATAATGACGTCATCACTACATGGCAGAAAAATTCCATCATTAAATTTTTTAAGACATCCCACCTAATTAGTGATTTTGGTGCACATAAATATGTGAAACAATGGATTTGTTAAAAAAATATTATTTCTCTAATAAAAGATACTGAAACAATGGAACCGTCCCGTCGAAAAATTGCATATTTATCCCGGTATAAATTAAAACCTGAGTACTAGTAACTTCCGTCACACACGAACGTATTCACTAATACAATTACACACTATCTCCTTCAAATTTCTTGTGAGAAGATAATAATCTAGATAGTAATTGATTATAAAAATAATCGCTTTTGGATTACCATTCTTTTTCATAAAATTTACATTTGAATTCAATTTTACCTACCGTATATACTCGCCTACAAGTCGGTTTTTGGGGAGTAACATTTTTGTCCTAAACTTTATGTCCGACCTATAGGCGAGTTATAAAAAGATTGGTATTTTTCTTGAGGGCGATATATAGTCTTTTATTAAGAGGTAGTCCACTGAAAATCAGGCAATGGGTGGCACATCGCATGTCATGGATTTTTATTAATTTTTGCATATAGACTTATTAAAGCAAGTGTTTACACATGACAACATCAAAAAAATTTTTAGTGCTCCTCTAGTCCTATTTTTGGTATGTGCTCAATTTTAAGTGCAAAAAGGTCAACATGGGGGTAAAAAAAATTACTACGTTTTTATTTTGTTTTATATGTACCAGATACGCAAAACCTGGATGTGTCTATCAATATTATTTATACCATACACTCTTATCTTTAGTTTTCGTAATGAATAAGACTCCAATTTATATTTCTTTAGAAAAAAATATGTGGTCCAAAATTGAGTTTAGCAAGTAGTTTTTTGAATTCATTATCCAATTTTCATTACGTTATAAAACCCAATACATTTCAATGACAGATTTTTTTTCTCATGTTATTATGAATACAAAGTACAAACTTTTGAGTCACTCAATAAAATCAGTGGGCACCCGTATATTGAGAGAAATAAAAGGAGTCAAATTTACCTATGTTTTACAATTTTTCACAATTAAACCGATCCCGACCGGAATTATATAAAGAAGGAAATACTATAATTGTAATGTTAAATTTGGCTCATTTGTTGTAATATGGCCAAAAATTACTTGATTTATTTTTTTACATGTCTTATGGGTGGCAATTGTCCTTAGTTTTATAACTTTACACTTCTTGCATTATTTTCAATCGGGATCGGTTTTATTTCAATCGGGATCGGTTTTTACCGTAAAACTAGAAATATTTTGCATTTAATGTATCAGAAAAAAATATGCTGGTCTTTTATTTCTGTTCAGTTAGTCAACTGTTTAAAATTATTTTATCCATGGATTCAAATGTTTATACAATGTATTTAAAGTACTAATGTCTTTTACGTACATGAAGATTACAATCATGTACAACATCTGTTCGATTTCTTGATACTCGGTATTAAAAAATCAAAGTATTTGTACATGCATTATGCAACAACTGAGAGTAAACAGCTTATCTTTATTAGATATCTTATTTCCAACTAAAGTTTTTTTTTTAATTCTCTCGTGAATTAAAGAGTTCAATTCTATCATTGGCGAAAATATACTTGCACTACCTAAATGCAGAAAATATTTAAATGTGCACAGTCTCGGCTTTATCCAAATTTTTTAAACCTGTCATCTACAAAAGCCATTTCCCCTATATTTTCATCTTATAAAATTTAATTTTATATTAATAAGAAAATAAGTTATTTCATGTACAGTATTATTATTTAAGAGCCTAGAAATCGCAAGCAAAAAGCCGGGACGGGGTGGGGTGGGGGGCAAGGCGGCATATTTAAAAAAAAACTTTCATTAATGGGAAAACATTTTAGAATTGGCCAACATGGTCACATTTTTTAACTTCATATTGAATGTGAGTATGTGATTATTTCAATCACCAAATTGAACCAAAAAAAAAAAAACAACAAACAAACAAACAAACAAACAAAAACAATACAAAACAAAAAATACGCCCACAAAATCTTCCGTTTTAGTGGCAAATTGAAGTAGGGAGTTCAACAGTAATTTTCCTCAATAAATATTTTTTAAATCTTATTTTTCACTTTTTTAATAAAATATTTTTAATCGTACCGCGGATCGTTTACTTTGGTTTGACTGCATAGATACATTGTAAATATAATCAAGTGTTTTTTTTGTGTGTGTGTGTGTGTGTGTGTGTACAAATATCATGAAATAAACATCTCAACTCCGTTGACTTGAATTAAATGTTGCGTAAATCTAAAATATTCATCTTTCCTTGATAATCAGAAGAAAATAAAATCTCTTCACATCCCAATTTTATAAGAAATATTCAATATAAACAATTAATTATTTGTACGCATAGCCTAGTAAATCAGTTTAAAAAATTAGTTCTCGGACATGTACAAAATTACTTTTAGCTGAGACGTCGCCCGTGAAAAAAATACATTTTATATAAAAATATATGATTATTTAACATGTAGGATAATGCACTCTGAAAAGTAATTGAACAGAAAAAGAGAAATTATTTATTTTTAATAGTTTTATTTGCGCTTTTATGCAAAGAATTTACAAACTTCTTTGGAAAACTTGTAACTATTTAATTGTGACGCAATATTAGTCAGGTATATGACGTCACTGATACATCAATGGAAACGTGGATTCAACCTGAATAATACTGCCAATCTTAATCTAAATATTACGTTTGGAGGCGAAAATGAATTCTATTTTGAAAATAAAGTAGTAATTTCTTGTTAAATAATTTCATTTTGTGTATATATTCTAAATATTTCACTAGGATTTCGATAGTAATGTGTTTAGCAGATTTACCGATGCCACGGGAGATAACTCTTACATCGCAAAATTTCATAAAAACGTCTCTATATTTTGACAGAAAACTACTATCAAAAGTGTTTTGCCCACCAATTTTATTTTTGAAACTGAAAGACGAAATATTTCTAGATTTAGTTCAGCATGAATTATAGTCCTGTTAAATAAGTATTGGAAATTACAGTTCGTTGTTTCTGACCTAAATTCAATGGTTTATATAGGGGAATTCAAGAACACGAAACAAAAGGATATTTTACTAAATAAGCAATTTTAAAACAAATCTTCGATTACATTATTCCATTTGGACTACATTGATATTGTTTTCAATAAAATTTCAAATACTCGTCACATTCGATGTGCCGCCTATTAATACAACCCTGCCTGGTTTTTCGGCGGACTGCCTCTTTAAAACATTTCCGACGATTATCATTGAACAAAGTCTGGTTATATTATATCATACGTTTATTTTAACACATGATAGGTTACAAGTATTTGCATAATAATTATGCACATTTAAGATAAAAATAAAGTTATTAAAATACTATTTTGATAACTTTAATTTTTATCTAATATGTGCATAACCTTTTTTTGAATGATTTAAAATTACTTATCAGTGTCATTTCTTAGAATGTTATTTGAAAGTGAAACCATGTCAAAAGATTAGAGTACGGTTTAAACAAATTATTAATAATAATTTGTTATAACAAATTAATAATTTGTTATAACAAATTATCAATTTGTTATAACAAATTAATAATTTGTTTAAACAAATTAATAATTTGATATAACAAATTAAAAAAAAAATACTGCTGCGGCCCTAATACCTTCCGTATTAGAAAGATCTGATTTGAAATCGTCAACTTATTTTTTCAAAAAGTTGCACCGACTTATAAGAGGATAAAATGAGAAATCTCCCCAAAAAAAACCCCTCAAAAATTACAACCGACTTATAGCGGACCGACTTATAGGCTAGTATACTGTATACGGCATGTATTTTATGGGTAAAATTATATTGAATGAAATGATATTGTATTAATTTTTGTATCTAATTTATAAACAAGCAAACTTAAGTAAAATTGATAAACTAAACCTGCTTGCTACCTAACAATTATTTTCTCAGCAAATTAAATCTTGTTTGCCCTAACATATTCCCTAATATTCATTCACAAGTACATCTGTATACTTCATCATTATCACATTGTTAAAAATAACATTCTTTTGGAGAACATTTACAAGGCTGTTCTAGACAAATGAAGTGTCTCCCTATTGGATTAGGACAGTCATTTACAAGGTCCCGAAGACTATCGTAATGAAGAATTCGTCAAGTTCGATAAATGTTTCCTTGGTGCTTTGTTATATTCTAGGGGCTCTTTTGAGCTTCTTTGCTAGTCTGATAAACCATATTCTCAATGGATACCTTCTCCTAACTTCTCCTAACTTTTCTTGATATATTTCTACAGACTTCGAGCAGCATAAGTCTGATATTATCAAAATATAGAAATATATTCTCTCATGTGATTATCATACAACATTCTTTCTGGTTTTCAGAGCACTTTGGTCAACTCTCTGTAAAAAAAAAAAGTTTTAGATCTGTGGCTTTTCAGCATGCGATGTCGAATTGCCGTTTTAGATTCTACATAGAATTAGTTTTTAGAATCATATAATCCTGTATATTTTAATTCTACCAACATAGTAATCAAACGGGCAAAACTATAAGTAAGGCAACAATATAATAGTTGTACCTTTTACGTAATTGTTTCTCTTGCATAACATTGCGCAAAATTGAATTATTAACACCAATCAATTAATGGTTCGGAATTCATTTTCTATAAGAAGTCCGTGTGGTCAGCTTGTTTCTGAATATAATTTCCTAAAAGCATATTCAGTCTTAAATGCATTCTTTTAAATTAATAGAGTTCTTCGCTCACACCCAACATGAATATTTCTATTTTTTTTTTGTAGAGCGATTGTTTTGGGGTTTTGACGATTTTTTCATATTGTACACATAATGAATAAGTGTAATAAATATAATTTTTGAAAAAAATGTCCAATAAGCCCCGGGGTTGAATATCAGGGGGTGGGGGGGGGGGTCCTGTCCACAAGTACCTGTGCACTGACTATATTAAT